CGCTCTTTTCGCCGCCCAACGGCTCCAGCTCGATGCCATCCGTGGTGGCAACTTTGTAATCCCGCTTCGACATGTTGCCACAACAGAACCCACAACATAACATTCGACCAATTTTGTAGGCTTGCGGTTTAAGCGGCGCCGTCTTGGATGATTTCTCTTGTCACACTTGCTGGGGGGAATGGGTTAACGTTGAACGTTGAACGTTGGACGGGGGTAGGGGTAGGACACTCCTCTCTCTCTCTCTCTCTCCCGTTGGTGTCCTTTCCTGCGGTATGTCCGGGGGTTTCTCGATTTCGTCTAGAGATATGTTTATCCAAAAGTTCTCGTTACAAAAGGTTCTCCCAAATTATGGACTTCGAGTATACGTGTATATATTTTAGTTGGTATGTAGAAGTCTAGCAAGAGGTCGGTGAGTAGATTTTTGATTGTTTTTTTGTGTTTTTTGTTGGCTTTTTTTTGTTTGGTTTTTTGTTATTAAAAATTGGTCCAGTTCCTGGTGTTTTACATATGTACGAGTATGTATGTCGTTCGAGTTGTGGCTCTTGTAGAGACTGTAAAGAGAAATATGTATGGGTAAATATTGGCGTTTAAGTGTCTGTTGGTATTGATGGACTCTGAAGGCAGGAGAGAGAGCTAAAAACTATATATTCTATAGTTTAGATAGGTAATAAATGTATTACTGATATTCAATACCCTTCAAGCAAAGACTGAGCAAAGTAGAAAACTTAAAGCGCCTTCAATGTGTGATAATGTCTGTGTATTATAGCTCTCCTCTCTTGGCTGCTCCATTTAGCTGAACAAAAATTAATAAGAAATATTTGTACTACTATCTGAAATGTTGCCAACGCACTCAGAATTCTAGAAGTTATTGTTAGACTGCCGCTTCCTGTGGAAGGAAAGCAGCAAAGCACACAAAGGCACACACAAAAGAGGAGAACAAGGGAGGCGCAGGGAATATCTGTGTGTGTTTGTGCTGGCTGTGGCACGTTGCAGACTGCAACTGATGCCACACTGCCACTTCTGGTCGTCGGTCGGGTGTCGCTGCCAGAGGAGACATTGTGAAAGGCAAACAATACGAAAAAAACTTTAATAAAAGCACTCGTACTCGGACTCCATGGCTATCCCCTTACACTCCAGTGTGGGAGTGGTCTTTGTGGCAAGGAAAAAAAAATGTAGAAGTGTAATAGAAGTAAAAAAAAAAAAGGGAGCAACAACAATGACAATGTCGTGGACTAAAAAGCATTCGATAGCCTGAGGGCCACGCAAATGCAAATGCACATCAAATGTGAAGGGGATCACCCATGTGGGTGGGGGTGGTGGTTGGAGAGGCACAACAATAATTGCAAGAGGCAGCCACCCAGTAGGAGAAGCCCTGGACAGAGAACTCCCACAAGCTGTAAGAAAATATCGAAGAGGTAACCGAGAGCAGTTCAATGCACGCCGACCAGCAGCAAAAGCAGTACCAGCCAGGATGAGGATGGGACTCCCAGACTCCAGAGCACTAGACCCAGTTAAATGGAGCACTGGAATACGCGGATGGGGATGCGAATCCCAATTGCAGAGTCGTGGAAGGGATGGCCACTCCATTTGATGGCAGCAGCAGCACTTGAAACAAAAGGCGAGGCGAGTACGGGTGCTGGGGCCACAGCCAGGGCAATTGTGTTTGCTGTTGGTATAACACAAAACGTAATAAAGAAACTAGGAGCTGGCAAATGGGAAATGGTAGCTGGACGGGCCGTAAACCTTTCAGCCATTGCTACCATTAACCAACTTTAGATCTGTGGGGCAGGGCGAAAATAAACATGGCGCAACAAAGTAAAGCATAAAGGAGGCAAAACAAAGGGGCAAAAAAACCCCAAAATGAATAAACCAAACAATGGAGTACATATGTATGTCTGCAATGGGCAGAGTTTTAGCTACGAATCGGATATACCCTGGAGTAGAATTGGTAAGAGAAGGGAGAGTGGAGAAAGGATAGTGGCAGTACTTGAACGTATTTGTATTTTGTTGGCTAGAGCAGTTAAAGGATCGAAAGGGGATGACCTAATGAAATTTACGTACTCCTCTTGCAGGACTCAATTTTTGGTGTGAAAGTTGTCTCAGAAGCAGAGATTGGAGGGGCTTTAACTAATGCGTCGCTAACTCTGATATGGCAGAGTATTTTCTCATGGACTTTGTGTACTTTCGCAGATTTTCCATTTAAAGTTCTTAAAGAGCAGATATAAATTCGATTCAATCTAAATATGCATAATAAGTGCCATAAGCATACCCAGACATAAATATCATCAAAATTAAAATGATAATTATACAATATGAACTGTGCAGGACACTAGAATAAGGATCTATTCTAAACTAGTATACGATATTATGAGTTCTATAATACATTCTAATCATCATACGGATCTGTAACTCTTCTTCAACTAATCCTAGGGGCACTCCACAAACCGAAACTAATGTCAGTTATCCCTCTTCTCCTGTAGGGTATCAACTGCATGGCACGGAGGTGAGGGTGTTTGTTTGTTTCTGGCCATAAAGTGGTCGGGATTAATGGCAAAATGGCGTCAGTTTGTTTTGTGATTTTCTTCCATGTTGTTTTTTGCTTGTTGCGCTCGTTGCATACAACAACGAAAAACATAACCAAAAACAAACAAACAAAAAAGAAAGACAAGGAGAGGCCAGAAAAACGACTGGACATACATGGACATACATGGGTCCAGGCCCAGAGAGCCGGACAGGACAGGACAGAGGACAATGCAACCAAAAAACAGGCAACGAGGCATGTTAACGTGGCATATACATAGCAGAAGAGGAGCATGTGTGTGCTTGGTGTTGCATGTACCTAAGAGTATGTGTCTTTGGCTGTGTGTGTGTGTGTTGCGTATGCGACATGTGTGCAAATTGTGCCCCAAAGTGTCATTTGTTACGTTTTACGTTACTTCCGGTCTGTCGCATCGCTGGCTATAAATAGCCAGAAAAAAAAATGGACTATGTGCGGAATGGCGAATCAAGCGATACCTAGTACACAGATGTGTACTTTAGCGCCTCATTCCGACTGGTATAGATACTGAATCGTGGTGATTCTTTGTTGATGGGCGGACAATGGTTTTATGTTTAACTATACCAAATATTAGTCAAGTATCTTTAAAAATGCTCCTCCTAATCATCGATCAATAAAATTGTATTAGAAAATCCTCATATTTATTAAACTCTTTTACACAATTTTCCTTGATTTTCTGCTACATATTTTCTATGCTTTTCTGTGCACTTTCTCTCGACCGGATGCATTTGTGCAGCTGCACTTTTGACCATGGTCTGGGATGGGAAAGCTTTTAGGGGGAAATTGGCATTATTAATTACGATACATGCTACACGAATGCTGCATGCTGCATGCCAATTTGAAGGTCGTTCAGCAGTAGGCAGGCAGCAGGAAGGGAGTGGGGTGGGCAGGCCAATAAACGTACTGCAGCATTCGATTGCTGACAGAGCAATCAGAGCAGAATCGAGTGCCCTCCGAGTCCCATTTGAAGCAAATCCCTTAACTAGTTATGCCTTTGCCTTTGGACTTTTCCAAGGCCATTAGCCTGTGCGGATTGGGATGGGGGGGGATGGATGAGTGGCAAGGTGGCAAGTTGGGTGGCTAGTAGGTGGTGCGTACATTGAGGCACATTTTTGCAGGTGTCACGTTTTATTTTTAGCACTAGCCTGGGCCCAGGCCGTAAAGGGTCGCTCTCTGGGAATGTTGTGCGAGTAGTTCTTTGGTTCGATCTGTCTGCCTCATAAGCAACACATATCCTGCACAGCCATACTTTAATATTTAATGCCAACAATCAGCCTGAATAATTGATAAACACATGTACCGCCACAGCCAAAGGGAAGAGCAGGACACACAGAGACAAAGAGTACTGGCAGGAGTTGGAGCTGTGACAGAAGAGCTGGCAGGAGGTGCCGCCTCAGCTTTGTTTGCTGTTGGTTTTTGTGTCTGGCGCACGGCAATTAACTTGTTTAAGCCACCAAGTAAACATGGCCAACACATTTGTCAGAGTCACTGTCAATGTCAGCAGTAGGGTGGAGAGCAGAACTAAGAGTAGGATATCTACAGTACAGTATGCTTTACCTATAACAATCGTCACAACAATGCCTGCCTCGGGGGTCGAGTATCCTTCGCTTATTTCGACAGTTTTAGGCGCCAAATATATGCACGTTCGTATACTATATATCGTATTTATATATATGTATGTATGTATGATATGGTGGGGGCTGTGGGTAAACACGAAACTCTTGTATGGAGCGGGGTGGAGGAAATTCACTTGATTTTTTCACGGTTATTTTCACACACAAACATTGACGGCATGGATGGGGGATCGAGAGCGCAGGGGGGTCGGGCAAACAAATTGGAAAACGAAACAATGCTCAATAAAAATAAGTTTCATACGATTGAAAATGATATTTGTTGGTTTCTCTGAAGGCTGCACAAGCGCGAACAAAAGGCGTCCATCAAGCACGAAGGATAAACTCTTTCTGCTTTCTGATTGAAAAGGAAACGACGAGTTGACGAGGAAAATCCTCTGGCAGCTGACTAAACACAAAGAGCGAGAGACAGACAGAGAGAGCTTTTCTCCAGAGAGAGCTTTGCATTTGCTCCTTTTTGGTCCTGTGTCAGAATTTTTGCAGCGAAATTCCAAGGGAAACTGCACAAGGATAAGGGAGAGCCACAGCCAGAGAGAGAGAGAGAGAAAAGCCGGCAGAATGAAATTTCCAAACTATTCCAAACACTGCCACCCAACACCCCCATCATGAAAACCCACCCCAAGTGCCACCCCCCGCAAATATGAAAACCCAACAACAGCATCCGCTCTAGACGCTGCCCGAGATCTGGCGTACGAGTCTATGCTAGATAAACAAAGTATCGTACTATTAGGGGTGTATAATGTGGATGCTTGAGGGTTCTTGTTTTTTTTTTGGTAGCTGTGCTCTACATACAAAAAGCCTCTAAAATTTAATATCAGACTTATATTTTCTAGTAACATTAATAAATACTCATTTAAATAAGCCAAAATTTGAAACTAGCTCAAAGCAAAAGAATTTTAATACATATAAGGCTAAGGGCTCTCTTAAGTCTTCAATTTCAAATCAATTATTTCATTGCCCTCCATCTCCTGGGCTTTGGGCGTATCATCGGGATCCAGTAGTTCGCCATCGAAGCTGTTTTATAAATATTATATGGAAAAGTCAGACCTTATGCTAAGGTTTCCCGTAAACGATTTACTTACAATAATTTCACCAGACGAACATCGCAGTCAAGCTCGTCGGCACATTTGAGATACAATACTTTGAAGACATCCTTCTTCTTCATGCCTATCAACAGGGGCCGCTTGAACATATCCCCCTGAACTTTCAAATGAAATTTGTGTGTCTTCTTTAGCAAAACGGAGGAAGCGGCGGCATCCTGTTTGTGGCTGTTATTCGAACATATTGCACGACCTTCTGCAGGGATAATGGAACTCTTATGGGTTATACATTTCGAAGGCGAACAAATTAAAGCATCACTCACTTAGGGTGTGAAACTTCATGAGACCAATGCTGTGGGGCGTATCGGTGGGATCCACCAGAGTTTCGTACTTGTCAATCACAACATCGTCCACATTCACGCCATTGCGCTCGGCCACCTCCTTGAACATGTGTGCAAACTTGCGATGCTGCCGCAACTTGTAGTTCTGAATCTCCCCCAGCCTAAAGATTAGATCAGAAAACATGCTGTAGAAAAAACTAAGGCAATTGCTATACCAAATTCCTACCAGGACAAGGCTATATCCATGGGTGCATTCTCAGATTCAACGTTTGGTTCCTCCACTGGTGCAGAGCCCGCGGCCTCGTCATCAGAGTCAAGATTCACCTACGGCAAAAGGGTCATAATAATCGATTCCATATAATTATTTGTTAATTCCTTACAAAACCCTCGACACGTGGTGCCACAGCTGATGCCAAGTCAATGGTATCCAGTACGGTAGATCGCGCTGCTTTCTCTGCCATCTGTTGCCGCCGATTGGTGGGCATTGGTACGGAAATGGCACCACTCAAAGATTCCATTATGGAGATCTGCCTTGAGGCATGCACAGTGGATTTTGATTGACTGTCGATTTTTTTTCCCCGTGATTTCCGCTTGGGCGGTGATGGCTTCTCGACCACAGGTTTCTCCACTTTGCTCCCAGAGGAGCGGGTACGCCTGGACACGGGCCCTGCGATTTTCTCCTTCTCTGCTTTAGCCTTTTTTTGCTCCATCTCCAATATCAATTGGGAGATGGGGGAGAGAGGACGTGACGGCTCTTCTGGTTGCCCGACTGTTGCAGCCACCGCTATGGGGGGCTTGTCATCTTCCTTCAGATTTTTCTTGCCCTTGCGGCCCCTTCCCTTGGGCTGGACTGTGGCTGTGTCATTCAATTTGGCTACTTTGCTAACTTTCTTGGTAGTGGAATGGCGGTCGAGCAGCTCAGACTCCTCAAACTCCTTGGAGAACGATTCATTGGACGGATTGTAAACCAGCTTGGGAATTTCTAAGGGACACATTTGTTGGGTCAATCCATCGAATTATATGTTTCCCAGTTGTGTTACCTTTAACGCGAGCATTTCGCAAAGAGCTGAATATGTCGCAATCGTCGTCAGACATTTTGTCGTGAAATTTAAATTTATACTTTATTTTGTTTAAAAGACGCCTGTTTCCGATGACCGATTGTATGTGACAGCGCTGCCACTTTATCGTGTGCTGTCAGCTGTTCGGACAAACTATAAAATAGAACGTTATCCCATTGTCGACCAGGGGGGTATTTAATATTTCCACGAAATTTATGTAACTTTAACATTTTTTACTCATTACAGGTGAAAGATATCGGTGGTCATTTTTGTTTTGTAAGTAAAGAGGAGGATGGAGCTACAAGGAGCCTTTACAAACAGTATTGTTTTCCGAGGTTTAACAAAGGTGCTCAACTTTTTAAACAGAAGGGTGTTAAGTGGGTTAAGTCTCGTTTGATTGCCCTGGTTTTTCTGCCCTGGCTCCTATTTTTTGGCCGGATGGTATTTTTTATCGTTATCGTCACGGTCACACCAGCAGGTCAGCCAGAGCAGCCTTAAAGATTTACGACAACTGAAATGTTCTTAAATATATAGCAGAGTAGCCAAAAACTCTGCCCCAAAGGGCCCTTTTTGTGTGTTTTCGGTTACTCGTGCTCGTGTGTGTCCTTGTGTTGATTTTTGCTGTTTTAATACCCTGTGCAAATAGCTCTGTCACTGACTTGACGAAGCTGCTTGCGTGCCGTTTTTCTGTTGGCACTAAGAAAGTGGTCTCAAAGCAGAAGCGAAAAGAAAAGTGAATAAGCAATCATACGGTAGCAGAGCCAGCAGCACCTCGATCCTCTTTCGGCAATGACGTCCACAAACAATCTGGTCGATGTTGTGCGTCACTATCAGCGGAGCATCGAGAAGCATGGCGAGGACGAGAAAAGGGTAAGTGTTTGTTTGTGTGTGCGTGTTGTTTGTGCCCCCACCCCATACATACCCCTTGATATTTGTCTGTGGTCGCGTCGTGCACCTGGTCCCTTTCGTTTTCTTGCGAAATTTCTAAAAGTTTGACAGACCTGCCGCATGGCTTAGACCCTAAGTTGGGTTTAATCTAACCTATAATCGTCTATAATTCCATTATCCGATAATTATCCTTATATACATAATTTAATAGATGATGCACTGCATCACAAAGCTGTTCAATCTGCCCATCAAATTCGAACACCTGCAGGAGACGGGCATCGGCAAGACGGTGAATGCCCTGCGAAAATTCAACGGCGAGGTTGGGGTGGCCGCCCGCACTCTAGTCACACGATGGAAGGCCATGGTGGCCGCCGAGGAGGAGCCCGCCGAGCCAGCGCCATCGGCAACGGCAACCACTAGCCAGGAGGAGGATTCGAGCAAATCGAATGGGCGGCGATCCAGTGAAGATGATCAGGAACTGGAGTACAAAGGCAGCAATTCATCCAGCGGCGACGACGGACCTAGCAGCAGCAAGCGAAAGTCCCGACACGACGAGACCAGCTCCAAAAGCAAGTCCGAGAGGAGCAGCAGCAGTAAGCATCACGCGAAGAGCTCCAAGTCTGAATCAGACAAGAAACACAAGAGCAGCCGCCATGATAGGTCCAGGGAAAAGGAGAAGGACAAGGAAAGGGAGAGCCACAAGGAGTCCAAGGAGCACAGGGACAAGAAATCGAATGGCGAACACAAGACTAAGGACTTGTCCTCACCAAACAAGTCAAGCAGCGGCAGCATCAGCCACAGGAACAGCAGCAGTCACCACACCAGCAAATCCGAGGGCCACAGAAACGACACAAAAGAACACCGCAAATCCAAGCACGAAAAGAGCTTGAAAGAGGTAAGAGCTTTTTGCTGTTGATACCATCAGGAGAATAATTCCTCTATTCTATTTTTGTATTTAAGGATAAAGATAAACCCCAGCACATCGATCAAAAGACACCGAAAGATAAATCGGAGAGGCACAAATCATCTTCCTCATCGTCCAAGTCATCCAAGCGACATCACAGCCCGCAGCGTCAGGAGGAGGAGCTCGCCACACCCAAGCCCAAAATAGCAAAAACCAAAATGACCAAAGATGCAACCGGTCAGGAGGAGTCCGTGGATGGCTTCGACTCCAGCATGGGTGCCAATTTCGATGACGTTCTCGGCATGCTCAACATGCCCATGAGCAGCAACAAGAAGAGCAGCAGCAGCAAAGCGAAGCATGTGGCCAAGCCACACACAACAGCAGCCTCATCATCCTCCACATCTTCAGCTTCAGCATCAGCATCAGTAGCCGCAGCAGCTGTGGCGCCATCCTACAGGGAAGCTTCCTCCAGCAGCAGTCGACCCGTCACTACCAAAGTAATTTTAAAAGAAAACCCCACCAAGATACGACCCTTGATAATCCAACAAATTCTATCCCCTAAGAAACCCGAACTACTCGCCTCCACCGCCAAGCTGGAGCCACTAGATCCGAGCATTGCCCTTGAGCTGCCTACCATTTCGAACAACTACAAACCCTTGCCCTTGAATCAGACAGTCATGGATGTGGTATTCAACCATAGTGGTGGCACCCAGAAGCCCTCCGCCGCTCGCTACTTCAACGAATCGGAGGCCCTGGCCGCAGGCATTTCCTCAAAGACAATGCGGTGGGTACTTCTTCAAGTCTCTTACCAATCAACCATTTGATTATCTTTCGGTTGAACGGCAGCACTAAGATCTACTCAGGTGTGAGGACTGGCCAAATCCTGCAGGTGGCCTCACTATTTGATCTGTGCACGCGAGTCCTGCAGAAGAATATTGATGGTGAGTGGGAAATAGTTCAATTTAAAGTTATGCCTGCCAAGCACGAATAATATTTATTTTTAATTGTTAAACATGACTGTGGGTGCTGTGTGGGTTGCTAACTTTCTTTTTGTGGATTTGGCAGCCTTGGAGTACACCGGTGGCGTGCCTTTTGAGGTGCTTCGACCTGTTCTGGAGCGGGCAACACCTCAGCAGCTGTTAAACTTCGAGGAGTACAATCCGTATCTGATGGACGACAGCGATATCCTGTGGCAGATGCATGTCACGCGCCACTGTCGCAGCCAGCGGCGTGAGGAGATGGAGACATGGCGTGAAATGTTCTTGGTACGCACCGCTGCATCATCCATTGAGAAACGAACACAAAGCTAAGATACTTTCACCCTTGCAGCGCTGCCAGGAGGAGAAGGATCGCAAGCTCAGCATACTCGCCGAGAGCATCAGGGCCTCGCAAAAGATCAGCGAGGCTCCAGTGCGCAAAACTCAGTTGGCTTTCGTGGACTCGATGGTAAAGCCACCGCGCAACGTGCAACGCAAGCAGGAGCAGTACGGCACTAAGGGCAAATTGATAGCAACGCCAGCCGCCCGAGTGGCGGCTCTTTCCAGTGTGACGCCCAATGCCGCCAAGGTGGGCGATGCCCGACTGCGCGTACTGGGTGCAGGACGTGACACAGCGCAAATTGGTAAGTCGATTGGGAAGTGTGAATTCTCTGTGATTTAATTAACTTGTTCTTTGTGCAGCTCCGATGCGACCCAAGAAGGCTCCTCTGATGGCCAAGACCTTGCAGTTTATGCGCAGCCGCAAGAGATAGGAGGAATAGTAGGGCTAATACAATGTTATAATGCGTTTACTCGTTATAGTTACAATCAATCTTATACTCAACATAAAACAACAGCAGCTACAAACTGTAACGCGGCAGCTGCATTCGGAAAGCTCTCTTTTCTTTTTTGAGGGGAGAGAGTCCAGTTGCCCAGGTCCAATTGCGGCACGCATCATCCGGTACCGCCCTGCTTATTATTTATTAATTTTCTATCCCCTTGGATAGCCCACATATTCATTCTATTGTGTACTAGAGGTCTTAAGTTCGATTCTTAGCTATAGTAAGTCAACGTTTTGTTGTTGGAGAGATTGGATTACGTTCAGGTTAATAGTTGGAACTTTCTAAACTCAATTTTATCGATTAAGATGCAGACTAAATTTAAGTTCCAATTGTTCTTTTGTCCCAGAGGGCTGTGCGAGTGTCGAAAGTCAAAGAGGAGTGGTGGAGTGAGTAGTTCCAGGCCGATGCAGATTGTCTGTACATACATATATATATATGTTAATCCCACATAATCGAAATTTATCAGCCTATAAGCTATAATCAAAGGCGTTTTATTCCACTAGTAAGCCAATGAAGGCGTAGGCATCAGGTAATCAGTAGCTCAATAGCCGACCAGAGCCTTGTTTACGATACAATCTGACATTTGTGAGGAGGAGTCAATCGATCACACTAATTGTTAATATAATGGGATATATATAGTATAAAGAATACACCCCCCCAGCAGCAGAGACAAAGAAAAAACCATTTGTTGCACACACACATACACAGAATAGTAACAGTAAATATTATACAGACTTATTAAAAATAAATTATTTTCAAGCATAAAACATTGGAAATGGAAATTCATTTATTCTCGATTAAGCGCCAATGCAGTAGAGCGTTTTGCTGCTCCCGTAAAACACATCGACCAGACGCTGGCAGGAACTATTAATGGCTAACAGACGATTCGATGTGCCCGATAGGTAAGTGGCCGCGGATGTGGAGCATCCCCCACTGCTGTTCTCACTGTGTGTCGGAGAAATAGAGAATCTCATTACAAATATTTGCCAAATTGGAAATGCAACTGGGTACTCACCTCATGGGAGTGAGCTTCTTGATGTCCCAGAGCCTCAAACTGCCATCGCTGCAGGTCGTGGCCAAATGCTGATTGTGTGGACTCCAAGCCAAAGAGCTAACCGGTGACGGATGATCCTTCAGCTCGCTCAGCTGTGCCCCAGCAGCCAGATCGAATATGCGCACTTTGGCCTCCTCCCCAGCGGCGGCCAGCATTTTGCCATCGGGACTGAAGGCCAGATTGGTCACCGCCTGGCGGCAATCAGCAAAAACACGCATCAGCTTTCCACTGGTGGCGCACCACAGACGCACCGAGTGATCTGCGGATCCAGTGGCCAAGTAGTTGCCATTCGGATGAAAGGCAACGCACTGTAAGAAATCACAACTTTAGGCATATTTCTACAGGATAAGAGTACTCTTGATGGTACCCACCTCTACGTCCTGCGTGTGGCCTGCATAGATGATGAGCGCGTGCTCGCGTTCCAGGGACCACAGGCGTGCGCTCAAATCTTTGGATCCTGTGACCACATACTGGCCCACGGGGCTCTCGTCCATGCACCAAATGGGATAGTTGTGGCTGCGGTATATGGCGGCGCAGTGCAGGTTGTGAGCCCGCCAGCAGCGCATGGTGGCGTCCTTCGAAACGCTATACAGGAGCGGATAGTGGGCAGAGAAGCGCACGTCGGTGACGCCTCTGGTGTGGCCACGCAGCTGCAGGCCGCCATACTCATTGCTGTGTCACGGAATGATGTTCAAAGAATTGTTTCAGTTGAGGGAAAATAGCTGCACTTACAAGGAATTGTCTGCATATTTGAGACGCTCCGCCCTGCTGCGATCCCGACGCTCTTCCTCAGTGCATTCAGCACTTTCCGCTGCTGGCTCGTCGTCCTCCTCCTCCTCGTTGTTCTCGCAATTGTTCAACTCCCAGGGGCACTGCGATTGCGGGTAGCGTCTGTAGAAGCTCTTGCCCCGACAACTGTGCTGATTCAGCTGCCACAGCTGAACGGATGAATTGTCGAAGCCCGCCACCATGTGGCATTCGCTGGCGTCCACATGGGCCGTGGTGAGGCCACGCGTACGCTCGCTGATCTTCAGGAAGCGCGGCAGCTCGATCTGTGCCTTGAGTATTTGTGTTGTGCAGGACTTGAGAGTTTCCAGGCAGCCATCTACGTTGAGCTGCGACCTGGCGGCCTCTGCGAATTCGTCGCCGTCCGGCTCCTTCTTGATGTCATTCTCTAGCTTGACGGTTGGCTCATCGGGGGGCCGTTTTCTGCTGTTTTTCTCTGCGCTGGACTTGATCAGCTTCTGCTCGCTGCGAATACTGAAAGTGCCAGCGGCGTCTTCCACATCCTCCGCATCGACGTCGTCGGTTAGGCCCATCAGATGATCCTCGCTGAAGACGCGCTGCTCGTTCTCCACGATCTGCACATGCAGCCAGGTGTACAGCAGATTCATGATCAGCACATGGCCACGGCGCTGCAGATAGCCACACATCTTGTCCACCACCTGCGATGTGGTGTGCAGCTCGTACTTGGAGGAGCGAAAGTGGGCCACGGTTTCGTCTGCCTCGGCAGTTTCCTGCTTAATGCAGCCACTGAGTATCTGCAGCAGGTTCATGAAGTAATCCAGCTCCGTGTCGCCGGTGTCCTGTGCCTCCCGCGCAAAGCGTATGAGAAAGGTGGACTCTGTGGTGGTGCAGCCATTAATCTTCGTGGGCATAGGGGCGTCGTACAGGTCCACCGGCGCCACGAGGTGCGCATACTTTCTCAGCAGTTCGACGGCGCCCTTGGATTCACGCGCTTTCAGCAGATCCAAGTAGAAGTGGCACAGCATGGGCCCGTAGAAGCGTTTCATCTCGATTCGCAGCGGCTCCGGCTGGGCCTCCACGAATTGCGAGAAGCGTCCGAACTGCTGGTCCACCATGTGCTGGTTGTTGGTGATCACCTGCACGTTCGAGTAGGTGAAACTGTTGCCGCCATGCAGGTCCGCCTCCAGCATTTTGCTTACTGCGAACTGATTTTTGTTCTGCAGCAGGAGAAAGTCCGAGCGTCGGAATCTCTCATTGCTCTGTGGGGGGAGGGATACAATTAGGGATTAGTATGTGGGGAGGCTATTTATATTGACGTGCACCAGCACTTCTCTTACCACATAGTTTTTCTGCTTCAGCAGCAATCCTACCGCGCAGCGCAGTAAATCGTTTTTCGAGGATTTTTTGGTCACAGTCGTTTTTATGCCCGCGGCACCAGTGTACACGGGCGAAGAGGCGTGTGCGTGGTTATTGGTGCTGTTGTTGCTGATGTTAGCACTGGGCAAACTCATACTTGAGCAGTCGATGCGAACAATCCTGATCCCTGATCTGTCCTGCAACTAACGCAAGCATCAGTGTTGCGTGCAATGACAGTCGCTTCCGTTGACTACAGGGGCTTCTTCTACTCGCTTGTTGGCAATCAAAATGAAAGCTTGGCTATTATTTTCTTCCCGCTTTTCGTTAATTCACGATTGATGGAAAAATTTACCGCCGCCGCCGCTAATATAAATTAATTTTATTGATAAAATAAATATACCGAAATATACTGTCTCATTTTCAAAATATACCGTAAATATACCGAGGAAACACCGAATACCGAAATATATTATTTGGCATAGTGATGGGAAGAGCTAATATATCGATGTTGTACGTACCGATTTGAAAATTTTGATTGCTAAGTGAGTTTGTTTTGGGTTTGCTCATTCCTTTTCATACAACCCAAGCATGATTGCTGTTTCTATTGTTTATTGTGTTTTTGTGCCCGTTTGTCTGCTTTAAATAGTAAAAATATGAAGAAATCTTAGCACAGTAGAGATGGTACATATCGACGTGATTGTGGCTATCGATGGCCATAAAAACAGCAACAGCTGTTCGATTGTTATTGTTTTATTGTGATTCCGCCTCCCCCGCTTCGGACTTTTGTTTCTGTTGTCTGTTGCTTTTATTTCATTTCGGTGCGCGTTTCTGACTGTATTTTAAAACGGTACTTGTACTTGTCCTTTAATCATATCCATTATGAGCAGCCCAACGAAGTTCGTGAGCGAATTCTGTGATATTATCGACTCCTATGGCGGTCGCGATAAGGTAAAAACCAATTAAACCACCAAAATCAATTAGCAATTAATTAGCCGTACCACCTGTTTTGTTTACCAATTACTTAAGTGTGTGTGTTTGCCTAAAACTATTTATATATAGAAACTGCATCGTGGCATTATGACGGGACCACTCAGGGGGCCTGTCTCTGTCTTGACCCTGAACCAACAGGTTTTTCAGCTCTTGACAGAGGTTTCGGCGAGGAAGTCTCAGTTTTGGACCTTGCCTCACTTCTTGCATTTGGCAATGGCTTCGATTCGCATGGTTCGACTCGGCTTATCAGCTCTGGCAGTACTCACGAGACTATAGTCGTCGGCGACTGACTTAAGATAATGCTGAATACTATGGCCGGCAAGCAGTTAACGCGCTGCCAGATAAAGAAGATTATACGCTCCGAGAGAAAGGTTTGTCCACGGAATAGGGGAGAAAGGGTGACATTCGATGACCCACAAAAGCAATCGAACAAAACCCATTACCATTGATTTCAAAGCAAATATCCTACAATATTAATAGCCAGTCGAGTAAACATCATCAGGGCTGGACGAGGTGGACTCCACTCCCCTGGCTCCAGTTTAGTGGTGGCATTTACGCAAGATGCTTGTGGCATTCCTGGTGTTCTTTTTATCGCTGATGTTTTTTTATCTGTTTGTGACAACAAAACAATTTCACAAATTGCAATGGTAAAGGCGGATCCGATCGCGAGAGAGTCCGTAAAAGGGGTCAAGTGAGTGCAAACAGAGACACGGGGTGCTGTTCGCTTGGATAAATTGGATACACAGCTGTACCCCTTAACTGAGTCAATAATATCCACGTGTCTCTCTCTCTCTCTTTTTACAGGTGATGAAAGCGCTCTGCTACAGCGCCAAACTGGTGGCTGGCTACCATGCGAAGAGGAATCCCGATCTGGCCAAGCGATATGCCACAGCCAGCTCAAAGATATCTGGGGCCAGGGCCACTCTGCGGCTGATCGACGACATTCCCATGATACAGTACGCCCTGGAGTATGGCTTGGGGGAGAACGAGCCGGATCGCGTTATGGCCGTGCTGGGGGTCACGGCCAATATCGTGGACCTACTGTACTACCCCATCGAGAAGGTCTGCTGGCTGGCCGAGCACAAGATTGTGGACGTGAAGAATGCGGACAGATGGGACAACGTAAATTCCATATTCTGGGTGCTCTCTGTTTACCTCAACCTTATGCGGTATGATAGAATTTCAGCCAAAAGATCGACTTATCCTATAGATTTCTCTTCTAGAACAATGCGTAACTTCGCTCTGAATCAGGAAAAACTGAGCTGCAATCCAAAGCTAAGCGAGTGAGTGATCATATTTAAGATAATCAAATGTTTCCGCCACTCATAATTCATTGTCTACTCACAGAATTGATGCTACTGCCTTGGCCAAGCATCGCCTGGAGCTGCTGTCCATTGCTCGCATATCCCTGGACTTTGTTCACGCCGTTAGCACTCTGCCCGGAGGTTATCTGTGGGGCGGAAAGCTTTCCACCTTCCAGGTGGGGGCAATAGGCACCCTATCCGCCGGCCTGGGCATCTATCAGATCTTTGCCAAAAGAAGACTCAACAAGTAGTTGTCGCTGCTCGCCTTTTTGTATTCGTATTTTTTGTTGATCGAAAGTTTTAAACTAGTCCGTAGATGTTTTTGTACCTTAGCAAAGTAAGTGTGATTGGATATAAAGTTGGGGCCGCGCAACAACAGCCGTGTCTGGCATGTAAGATCATTGAAAAGCACAAAATATACGCTGAAAAATTGATAAAGACTTGGGTTCTTGGTCTGTGTGTCCTTTATTATCTGTTACTTCATTTTATTGTGTGTTTTCTGTTAGGTTCCGATACATGTAATGGAGTACAGTATATGTATGCTCTCTTCTCTGTTTTAGTGTTGCCTTTAGCATGACAGCATAGAAGGCTTAACTTAATGTACAGGCTCCCTTCATGAATATTGTCGTCGCCCTGCCGAGGCGAGGGTTCGTTACAAGAATGTTTAATGATAATAATTATAATAATGTTTGTGTTTGTTTCATTTATACGATTTGTCATCAGTTTAGCAGTCATTGTATACAATGTTCTTCCCTAGGCATATTTAAAATACTCATATGTCTGATATTATACTCGTTATGCATGGGGTTTATAACTTGGTTTTTTTGTTTTTTCGATTTAGATTACATGAGGCACCGACCGACTGACTTACTGACCTCTGTTCTGTTCTGGTCTGGTCTAGCTTTCGGCTATGGTTTAAAATAACATTTCGTTAGTAAATATATTTATGTATATATTTTATTTATGCCGCATATTTATTAACAATTGGTATTTTTATTATTATCATTATCTTTCGGGTTGCGCTCTCTGCTCTGCTTTGCTTTACTGTTTGCTTCATGGGTAAGCTCTTTAGATGTATGAAATATTAATGGAGTCCTGTATTATAGCCACCCCGTATCTGTTAGCGCGTATCATTAAAATTCACGTTAGTCTGATATAAATAGAGATATTTGTTGTTGTTGTTGTGGATTTGTTAATTCTTCAATAATATACCTAGCTACAGGAGGTGTACGGTTATGCGTATCATTATTGTTAATATTTTTTGTAGTATTATTCGCCCCTTTCCTTTCATTATGTTTCTGTTTCCTTTTGCATATCGTATACAAAAAAAAAGCCTCAAAAAGTTCACAAAAAATGTTCAACTTTGTTCCATTTGCTTTTTTGTAGCTGTGTGTGAGTGTGTGTATCTATGTGAATGAATGAATGAGTGTGTGGATGTGTGTGTAGTTGTTATAACCATAATGCAATTTGAACTTTTGCTCATAACAATATATAGTAATAGTTTTTATTACATAAATAGGTATACAATATACATATATATCGGAAGCTATTTAAAATGGCACTGCAGTAATTTTTGTTTATATTCCTATATAAGGTGGGAAAATCAATTAGTTGGGTCGCCACTAACACCAGCCCTTAGGGATCAAAACCCTTATCTAGGGGCATCCCGCTGGGCGATGACGACGACCCCGTACTAAATATTCTTCTAAATCCTCTTCTGATTCTTCCTGCTATAACAACAGTGTACATATACGGATTCAAACGCACAGATTCGTATTCGTATCGTCTCTTTGGTTATTATTTCTTTTTTCTTCTTCATGTATTATTAAAATATATTCATATATAATCATATTGTATGTGGTATTTGATTATTGCATTAAAAGCTTAGTATTCCTTTCTGAATTCTGAATATTTCGGTATTATATATACTCGTATTCCATTCTTTTCTTTTCTTTTGTGTATATATATTTAATATACTCGTATATATATATATAGGTTGTATAATAGTCTTTTTAAAAACCGTTCTTATTGCATTCTTATCCTTATCGCCTATGCTTATTGCCTAATTGTAACACATTTGCCGAGCAAATACCGTGTGCTACTGTTTAAAATTCAATTTGCAAAGTTCTTGCTTTTATGTTCCCCCAAAATGTGTCTCACATGTTCGCTTGTGTGGTTTGTTTGTTGTCTTGTGTGTGTGTGTTTTGAATACCACATGATTAACCATCAATCGGTAATACGATAGTAAAAATATCCGCTGTATATATGTATGTATGTATGTATAGGGCATTGATTAGTATAGAGAGCTTTAGTTTTAGTATATGTAGAGTACGGTATAGGTTACATTATATATGTAGTTAATGCGTGTGTTTGTGTGTGTGTGTGGTAGGTGTAGAGATATCGGCATAAGAGTAGAGATATTCCTTACATCAGATTTTCGGATTCTTTTACCATGAGTTTAAAAATAATTTATTTACTCTTTTGTTTTTATAGTGTACTCGTAGAAGGAGGCTTAGAATTAGGGGGTGTATAGTAGATAAGCGGATGACTTGTGTCTGTAAAATATATATGTATGTATATATATCTGTACTATATAGTATTTGTTGGATTGGTAATTAAGGTTTTATTGTTGTCTAATTTCGCTTTGCATAATCTCCTTAATTATTTTTACTTTTACTTTGCTAAAATTTAATATTATCGGTTTTGCGTGGGAAGCGTTCGATTTTGGTTCCTTTACATTTCGTTTAAACATTAATTTGTCTTTTTTTTCTTGTGTGTGTTTTATTGATACATGAAATTTCTTACTTTTCTTATTCTTTTGAAAATAAAATGTCTTCTTTTTTAAATTAGATGAAAAGCCAGTGCGGAAAAGTTTAAAATGTTAGTAGATTAAATTTAAAATTCTCGTTTTTTGTTTGTTTTGGTTGTTAAGCTTGTAAAAGCGTTAAAAACATTAAAGTAAAACTGATTTAACATACGATCGATCGAGATTGAGTGCGCCAATTGCCATCTGGCCGAAAAAGCCTTAAAATGTTCCATTAAAATTTGTTCGCCGTCGCCATTTCTTCTTTGGTGAGTAAAAAGTATCGTAAATTTAGATAGATATTTAAAATTGTTTCACGAATATGTATGCAAGTGTTTGAGTTTCGAGTGTGTATGTGTGTGTGTGATTGTTGAGTGTATATTTTTGTATGTTGTATCTGAAAATTTAAAGCTTGAGCTAAAAACACTTTACATCCAATAGATGAATGGGTATTGTATGAATAAAAAAAAAGAGGCTAAAAAATATAATTTAAAAAGAATCCATCCATCCAGTGAGCGAGGGAAAATACTACTGACTGTAGCTCCCCCCTCGGGGTAAGTCTTACAATTATTAATAATTCAGCTAAAGCACCATTTTATCTTTACAGTTTGTCTAGCTTAAGTATTACAGGGTATTTGTGATTCATTCAACTTTCAGATTTAAAATATATACTATAAACCATTCTTGATTTTCATACTCATACTTTTCATATATGTATATATATATAGGTGTGTATGTATATATTGTATATAGTTTAAGGTTAATTCCAGCGAAATGTTCAACTCTTTTTCTGTCCACCGCAACCCCTGATATCCAGATTTATAAACTATTCGTATGATCTATATCTAGGCGTAGGTATAGGCTTTTGGTATAGGTATAGGATGTATGTATATATGTAGAATATACTTGCATTGCATCGTAAGTACAAACTGCATTTAAAAGTAGTCAATAAGCTTTTGTTTTGTTTTGATTTGTGGTTGGCATTAAAGCGATTTAAGTGGGTGATTTGCTTGGGATTAGCTTCTTAATCCATTCTTCTTAGTCCTTAATCATTCCTTATCCTTATCGAAGGCATTATACATTATGTATATGGGTATGTGTGCGTATACTGTAAATAGATAGGTATTTATTTATGGGGTAAATGGTTAGTAACAATGCATTTGTCTAGCATTCATTGCGTTCTCTATTTTTTTTGGGTTTATTGCTCTTATACACTCTTTGGCTTGCATCGGGACCGACCACTGTGGGCGATCCCTAGAGGCAAAGGAAACTAAGATTTTTGTAGGTAGAGGCGCTACAACAGAAACCGTTACACTAAGAGGCATCCATGGTTACCCTAGACCCGCATTCCATTCTCCATACTCCTACATTTCTCTCTCCTCATCATCCTCGTATTGGTTAATTAAAAATTGCTTATCTTTGCAAATCGATACATTAAAAACTAAACAAATTTAACTATTCTGCCGCGCAGCATTCGCTCAACATTCGCTCTTTTTGGTATTATTAGTTATATAATTATTTGGTTTCATGTTTATTTTTTGTTTTGTTTTCTACCATAAAATCCCTGTAGGTTCTTCTTAATGAGTGTCGTGTCGTGTCGTGTCATGTGGTATCGTATCGTATCGTGTGTGGAGTGTATGGTGTCTCGAAATAATGTTAAAATCAATTAATGCCTAGAGTAGGGTCTAGAGAGTGTAGAGCATGCTTTCGTTAAAATTCGACACGAAACAGCATCTGCCGACAGCTGTCAGTAAGGAGTACAGTAACCAGTCACCAGTGTTGTAAACCAGCGTTTAGTTTTTCGTTCAGTTTGTTTTTCTTGGTAAAGTAATTTGATTGTTTTAATGCTTAAATTCGTTCGAATTTAACTTTTGATATTACGACTAGTAAGTTTCATTCTTTTCTTTTGGTTTTCGGCGATTCTTAAGAGTAACAATCTGCTGGGGAATGCTTGGAAAGGGTTAGTAGTGTGGGGTTAAGCTTCGAGTAAGTGTGTGCTAAATGAAAAATAGAAAATGAAAGCGTAGAAAATGGCAATATTGTGTTATATATTTGTGAATACGTGTGTTTGTGTGCTGATCTTTTCGTTTTTGCTTTCTAATAGAAAAGTACAAAAAATGATTTAAATTAAAGCATTGTTAAGTACAATATGTATGTAAAGATTAGTGTGTGTTTTGTGGCTACATACGTGGTGTGTGTATAGGTATATGGATAATAAGTGGTTAACGCACTGGAGATCCTTTCTCAAAATACATGAAAAATAATGTAAGACATAGAGATAATAAGCTTATAGCGCCATGATATGCGGCGCTCTAAAACTGGAACAGCCAAAAAAGCCAAAAGCAGGATAATGATAAGTTCCCTTAAAACAAAGTTCAACAATCAATCAGGCATCGCGCGTAAATTTTTAACAAGGAGTTTGCGTGTTTCGTGTTGGTGCTTAAAACTAATCCGAAATAACAAAAAAAAAACTGAACAAAAATAATCTCGTGTATCAAAAAAAACTCAAAGGTGTAACAAAAATTCAATAAATGACAAAAATAGGAATAGGGTAGGCAAAAGGTAAATGAATTTACAATTTTTAAAAAGTTCTCCTAAAAATTGAAATTCCCTGATAGTTAAACGTTCAACGGACAGTCCATAAATATATCTAGTTATATGAAATATATATGTATGGGGCTTGGCTATGTAAAAAGAAACCACATAAAATTCCTCAATAATAGCGCAAAAAAAAATAAACAATAACAAAAATAGAGATTCTCCAATCTCGCGGGAGAGGGCGGCAAGCTAATGCTTATTCTCGATACAGCTTCCGCGATCTCTCTCTCTCTCTCTCTCGCTAGCTTAAAATTAGACAATTACAAAATATAGAATAGATTTAGAACAGCTTTCTTAGCCGAAAATAGTAACAATTATAGTGTTGTGGTTTGTTTGATGGTTGATGGGTAAATGAAATCGCTCATTTCATCGCTCAAGCATCGATTGATCCAAATGCTGTTTGATATGTAAGCATGATTATCAAAGAAATAGCACAAAAAGTAGTAGTAGAGTGTGTGTCAGTGTCTTGTTTTTGGGGAAGGGGAATGGTTTGGGTGTTCGAAGAGAGGGACACTAAGGGGCCTTAAGCCTTAAGAATTTAAGGGAAAATTCAACGCGTATAGTCGTATACTTCATACTTCGTACCGTTGTTCTATATATATATATATATCTATATACACATCAATAAAATTCTGTGTCTGTGTCGTTCACCATTATGTCTGGGAGTGCGCTCTTCGCTTGCGATCTACGTCCAACGCTGAATCGGAAGCACGTTAAAATGCGCTAGGATGTCTCTAGATCGCCTGGTGCTGTTGCTGCTGCTGGAGCTGCTGCTGCTGGAAGTTGTACAACGAAGTAGCCGTGGCATTGGCGGCGGCTCCAGCATTGCCAAGCAGCCCATAGCCTCCTCCTCCGGACTGCGAGTGCGACTGATGAAGATTGCCATTATGATTGATCTGATGATGCTTCTGCTGGGGCTGGTAGTTGTGGTGGCTCTGGCTGTGATGCTGCTGCTGCTGTTGCTGATGGTGGTGGTGCTGCTGTTGCTGCTGCATCTTGTGCTCCGCATTGCTGTTGCTGTGATTGGAGGAAGACAGCGAGACGGTCGACGAGGCGGGGCCAATGCCCACCAGAGCCTGCGACTTGGAGTTGCGCGTCAAGGGCTTATGGTTCTTCACAATGTCACAGCTGTGCTGCCATTGCCAGCAACTGCGGCAGAAGTAGCTGCAGAAAGGGACACCCTTTAGTGTGATTCAGAATACAATCTCCGAATGAAGCACTCACCGGAAACAGGAGAGCTCCCGACAATAGTAGGGGCCATGCTGCACGCCGCATATCGAGCACAGGGCATCCTCCAAGTACGGATCCACCTGCACCTTCTTGGTGAACTTCGTGGTGCGTATCTCGATGAAGGCGGCCGAAACGGCCTTCATGTACGAGCGAAAGTTGCTGAAAGTGACGCGTCCCGAACCAATCGGATACTTGTACTTGTCCGTGTCGATGCCCGCGTATAGCACCCCATCGAAGAGATCGTCCATGATTTTGCCCAGGCCCTCGGCCGTCAGTTTTCCATGTAAAGCTCCCACAAAGACGGTCTTTGTGGGGTCCAACTTCTGAGAACTGGAGCGCACAAAGTTCGAGTCGGCAATGATCCATGGAATGACTTCAACCTGCGAAACAGAAATTGAAGAGAGGGCATTCCAGCAGTGCCGGGGTGTCGGGGTATCTACTCACATCCTTGGACTTGATGCGACGCGATGAGATCTTAAAGTAGTAGTTGCTGCCGCTGTGCGCATCGTCCATTTGGACCACGCAGGCAGACAGCAGGGCCTTCACCTGTTTGTCCGACTCAAAGATGATGTAGACATAGCCCTTGGGCTGGGCAGCCTGCTGCTCCTTGCCCGGCCATTCCACTCTACACAAAAAAAAAGCACACACACAAATTAAGAGCCATTCGAAGGGGAATGGGAATGATCCTTACTTGATAGAACCGAATGGTTTGAATATCTGAATGAGCGATTGCTCACTGATGTCCCAGGGTATGCCGCCCAGGAAGACCTTCGGCGAATAGTTGAGCATTCGGTGCGAGCGTGGCGGCAGCTGTCCGCTCCAGGTGCAGGTGGCATCGCACAGGGCCGCAGAGCTCCTGTGGAACTTGGCCACGCGATCCAGATGCCCATCGTTGGTGCCGGCGCCGCCGTCCACCGTGAGGTTGGGCCCAAATCCATTCGCCGATCCCCCGAGATTCGTCAGACTGCTGGCTGCACTGGTCGCAGCGGGCATGTTGCCGGCATAGCTCTGCAACAGCTGATTGAGCAGCGGCATCTGCTGCGTTTGGGCCTGCAGCAGCTTCAGGGTGTTGATGCGCTGCAGATTCTGCAGCTTCGCCAGCTCCATGTCCACACTGGCAAAATTCTCCAGGCCGCACTGGCTGAGGTCACCGTTCAGGTCAAAGTTGTGCGGCCCTCCGTTGCCGGACAGCTGCTGCTCGTAGTTCCTGTTGAGGCTCGCGTACTGCTGCTGCAGCTGCTGCTGGACCTGCTGTTGCTGGTGGAGTTGCTGCTGCTGCTGCTGGTGGTGCTGCTGTTGCATGGATGCCAGTCGGTTGCTATTCACGGACAGTAGGTTCTGAAATAACAAAATAAATAAGAAGAGATTCGACTTTCTTTCGGAGAAGGGTAGAACCCACAATCATATCCAGTAGATTTGGTTCATTGATCGACTGGTTGCTGTTCTGGCTCTCGGGCGTGTTGGAGCGCGTGGAGGCATTCTGCAGGCTCAGTCCCAGGCCGCTGCTGGAAAAGCCCTGCGGCTCCTGGCGCTGCTGCTGGTAGAGCATGTTGATCGAGTCCATTGAGAGGCCATTGCCGCTGGAGGAGTTGCTGCTGTCACTGCAGGGGGTAGCATGAGGAATGAAATGTTAGATCCGGGCTATATTCGAGAATTAATATATATTGTAGAAGGCGGGTGCAGTTGTGGTGCAGTGCCGCTTACGAGTATAGCATTACCTGACCAGAGGTGAACTGTGAAAGGAGCGATTGTAAATAGATGAAGGCGTACTTGGCGATAAAGGTGCAGAGCAATCGAAGCTGATGTTTGTTCTTTGGAAAGCCTTAAGTGGGTTACTTTGTGCAACATTTTCAAACTATTGTTTAATTGTTTTTGTTTTTCGCCAATTCCACCCAACCATTCAGACATATAAAAAAGATAAAGAATATGGAAATCAAATAAATTAAAAAACGACGAAAGGAAACACGATAGTTCAACGGTCAAACGGTAAACAGTAAAAGGTTAAACGGTTATCTTCGTCTTAGATACGAAGCAGAAAATACCCTTGCAAGAGAGATAGCATTGATGACTTCTAATATTATCATTGATATACTGATATGCGGACACAAAGAGAGACCAGAGCTGTTAATGGAACTGTGGTCTGGAACCTCTGTCTAACGAGTGTATCCATGGAAGACATAGGATTTTATAGAACTGCCAATATCATATTATTTTATATATATCAATTTATAAAAATCGAAAATTCAAACATTTTCTGACAGAAATCTCTGATTTCCTAAGAAAATTCTTCCCTTCTTCCATTTAAAATTTAAATTTAAGATTTAAATTTTAAATCTTTATTTATGGCCAAATGAATGGCAAATTTGTAATGCTCTCTGCAAGGGTATTTAAGACAAGACATAGACGAACACACAGAAAGGGAGACAGAGAAATAGTTATAGCGGGGACACATAGATAGAGAGAGGGAGATATATATATATATGTATATAAAGAGTGGGGGAGGAAAGACAGACACAGAGGAGGGATGGGGGTATACAATATGTAGATACAAGCAAAAAAGTTACTAGAAATCGGTGCAAATTGAGTGCAATTATTAGAAAGAGGGTTCCCGAGCCTCCCAAAACAGAGAGAGAGAATACTCGCAAAAAGTTCAGGCATCAATCGAATCGATTCGTATGGAAACGGAATAACATTAGCCAAAGATTTACCTGAAAGTAGTCGAAATTGGACTTGGTGGTGCCTGGCGAGGCCGAGGATTGCGTGGAGCTGGGCGTCAGGGGGGAGTAGACAGCCGCATTGGCCGACAGTTGGACACCTACGCGTACGCCCACGCCCACACTCTCTCCACAGGCGGCGGCAACGGCAGCAGTAGCGGCGGAATTCAAACGATTCGTGCTGCCACCACTGCTGATGCCGTTGTCTCCGTTGCTTTGGTTCTGATTCTGTTTCTGATTACTAGCTTGGGCTGTGGCCAATCCTCCTCCGTCTACGGCTCCAGCTCCGGCTCTTGGTCCTGCAACCAATCCCATGCCAGCTCCAGCTCCCACTCCGTTTCCAGTTGCTGCAACTCCTCCTGCTCCTCCAGTTGTGGTGCTGCCGCACAGACCCAGCAGATCACTGAGTGTGATGGGATCTGAAAAGAAAAGAGAGAGTCGAGAATGTAGATGCAGAAGCAGAAGCAGAGGCAGCGGCAGTGTATGGTCAACAATTATCTACAAGTTTGCGCAGACCCTCGATAAATCAAAAACTATTGCCTCCTCAAGCACTTTGCAAATATTCAAAAACTGCTAATAAATTAAGCGTAAATATGTGTTGGCTCTCCTTCGATGTCTCGCTCGATGGCTGGGTCCGTCCTTTCATTTTTGGCCATTTTGGCAGGACCCCCGAAACTTACTGCAGTCCTTGCTATTTGTGTTGCTGCTGTCGTGGCTTTTGGAAGCCAAGTTCTGCTCTCCATCCCCGACAGCCATCATGCCAAGGTCCTCCTCAATGATGATGTTGTTGCTGTTGCCTCCAGTATTTCTGCTGCCTTGACTGCTGCTGCTGCTACTGCTGAGCATGTCACATTCCCCGGAACTGCTGCCGCTGCTACTGCTGTTGCTGGGACTGTCGCTGGGGCTATCGCTGGGGCTGTCGCTGGGAAAGCCTGCCTCCTCGCTGCTTGGTATAAAGTCTCCGACATCATCCACGACATCATCCACGAACGACGACTCATACGAGTGTTGGTTCAGCGTGGGCGCCTTCGATGGCTCCTTCCTGATGAACAGCTCCTCAATGCCACCCATATCTGGGACTACTCCCCGACGCGGACGGGAACACCGGGCACCGATTTTCAAAGTACTTCGATCGCCAAACCGCGATCTTTGTGACAGACTCAGACTAGTGTGTGTGTGTGGCACGGTACGTGTGCGTGTGCGTGTGGTGTGGGCACAGGAGAACAATTTTGTGGATTTTTTTATTTAAAATTTGTAGATGGCTACTTTAAAATTTATTTTCTGCGATTCCTCCGTTTTATTGGTGGAGCGTAAATTTGTAACCGAAATGTGAATGCGAATTTGACAAAAGGCAAAAACGACTTGCAAAACAAACAAATATATTCTTTACAACGATAATAACGATTGACTAAATAAATGTTGAAATGAAAAAATATTTTGTGTGTGTGCCGACTCCTAAAAGTAAAAAACGATTGAGCTCTCTTCTATATATCCCATATTGTTCATAATGTATATCGAAACGTCTAGTTCTGTCTGACTGACAGGAAAACGAAAGTTATAGGAGTTGCCTCCATATTCTCCATTTTCCATACATATAAATACAAAATAAAAACCATCCTTTATACATGGTGTTTGTACTCGTAAGAGAACATCTGTAATACAGACTCTAAGACTGTGTATATTTAATTTATGTAAAAGTATGCCACATTCAGATGAAAGGGTCCGTTGTGTGGATTTGATTGGTTCTTTCTTGTGTATGCAACAGGCAGGCAGATGGATGCTTCATTCGACGCATTTCGAAGCTGTCCTCAGACTACGGAGGTTTTTATAAAGTCCCTTCCCTGAGACTAAATCTTTCTCGATTGTTCTCAGTTTTCTACGATGCCTACGCAAAGGTGAGAGTTGCCTTTTCCTCTCTCCTTAATGAAGTTTGGAACATATGAGTGATAAGTTCGTGTTTTAAAACAATTCCATTGCTTAACAATTGTCCCTTTTTCTGCAAATATAATTATCATTTACAGTCCTGACATTTCTTTTCCTGCTAAGGAAAATGATTTGTTTGGAATTAGGTTCTTCCCAGGGTAGAAATCGTAGTCTATAGCTTGGAAATGGCACTGAAAACCCCAGAAGATATATATATCTATATACATGTAATAAAAAATGCCATATCGTACCGTTTATGAATGATATCAGTCCATCGTCGTTGCTGCGTCTGCCCAGCAGATCGTGTGGCTGTAGCTGCTGCTGCTGTTGTTGCTGCTTTTGTTGCTGCTGCTGCTGCTGTTGTTGCTGCTGTTTCTGGTGGTGTTGCAGTTGCAGCTGCTGCTGCTGTTGATGCTGCTGCTGTTGGTGGTGTTCGAGCAGAGAGTTGATCGTCGAGTGCTTCTGCAGCAGGTCCGCGGAAGAGGCGCCGCTCAAGGCCCGCATGTTGCCACTGCCACTAGTTCCAGAAGAGCAGTCGGGTGTGTCGTACTGGAAGGAGAAAAAAGCATTGAGACAGAGGCAGAGGCAACAGAAGGATGACATCGGAGCAAGAGATTTTCCAACTGTAATTGTAATAAAAACGGGCGCCAGTTGGAGAAACTTTTATTGTCTCTGTCGGGGCTTCGTCCTTGTGTGTGGGGGGTGGGGGGTTGCAGGTGCACACAACAGAAAGTGCCTCAGTGGCAGCCTTCCTGCTGCTGCAACTAATGAATCGTTTATCTTTTCCATTTCTTGCCACATGCCAGGGCCAGAGACAGAGCCAGAGCCACAACGAGAAGCATGCCGATGCGGATGCAACAACGTAGAAAGTTGGCAAGGCAACCGCAGGAGGAGAGCCACAAGACAGACAGACAGAAGGGAAGGGGGGGTGACAGGACAGACAACCAGGCAACCAAAGCTGAGTGCTGGCCTCTCCTGCTCCTCGACAGAAGAGCACCTCTCGAGCGCCTGGGCGCAATTAAAAGCGCATCAAGTGTCAGTGGAGCACACTTAAAAATGCCAAATTAGTGCAAATATTGTTATCAGGCACTCGCCAAACAATTTAGCGCAAAATGGCGTACAACTCATTACCGTCCGACGACCAACGACCGAGGGGGGATTAATGCGGCAAACGGAACACGGAATCGAAGGCAAAGCAAAGGACGAAGGACAAGCAACAGAATCCTGATGAACGCCAGCCAGGATGAGCTGCCAAAGTGCGGATAGGGGGGGTAAAAGCAAAGCAAAGCCAAGCCAAGCCAAGGCAACAAGTAACCATAATGGTAAACCATGAGTAGGAGGGAGAGGAAGAAGGAGTCGTGCTCCAGTCACCTATCAAAGGGTTCCGGGGCTAGCTAACAGCTGGAGGATTAAGGTATGCCGCAAGTAGGTGTTTGTGGAAGATGCTGGTGCGAGGATTGACAGATTGATGGAAACCGAATGATTCGTTTAATGGAGCTTCTATCATTCAACATTGGAGGCTAGCTTTTAGCATCTACTGGAAAATATTTTAGAGCAAATTCCGGCATGCTAGTACCGTAAAAATTACGGAAATAATATTACTGGAATATGGAGGAGCTGTGTCTTGTTAGCTATGGTAACTCCCAGATATATTCACACAAAAGAAAAATATATTTTAATTAACTTTTAAGGAACCCGTCGAACCATTCATTCTGTTCTTTCACCCTCCAGTAGAGTGGAAATGAAGCGATTTCCCTGTCCTACATGTGAACTCCTGTTAAAGATCTCTCCCCCCTCTCCCTCTCTCCTCTCTAACGCACTGCTCTTCCTGACAGCAAAAAACTTGCTCTTGTGTGGCAAGTTCTGAATGAGGAGAATGAGGAGGAAACAGAGAAGCAGCGACAGGCGGCGGGCGGCTGGCGATGGCTTCCTCCTTAGTTTTTGTCAAGTTGTCACAACTACTACGTTAAGTACAAAACTTGCCATGGATTTAAAAATTGAATGACAACTTGATGAAGGTACGTGGCAAAGTCGGAAATGGCACGAACATCCATCGCACACCACACGCACGGCAATCATCCGCCGCCTACACTTCCCCTTCCTCTTCGTTTTGGGTGTGGCAGGGAGGAGGCAGCATTGCCGGACAACTCTTCTTTCCCCTCCCCCTCGACCACTCTCTCTATCTTTCACTTTTTGAGAGGCGGCAGGCATTGTGGCCTGTTGACACATACATATGCCACAGTGCCACACACAGAGCGTGTGTGGGTGAATGGGCGTAGGATTTCAGACTTTGTTTCCAACCGACATACGTCACATCCTCCCACACAGACACAGACACAGACACAGGACACTGCCGCACTGCCACACAGATAGCAAGCACACTTGCAACTTGTGGCAGGCAATAAAAAAACAAAAAACAAAAAAAACACCAAACAGAAGAAGAGACTAGAAGCGGCGTCAATGAATGCAAATTACAAATAGTCTTGAAGCTATTTTGTAATGCCGAGGCCGCGCATCCCACATCGCACATTCCACACCCGCCACATCCGCATTCACATCCGTGTCCGCATCCGCATCCGCATCTGACGTACAAAAGACGCCCAAGATGCTAAAAGCTTTCGCTGTCGGAAATGCCAGCCAAAAAGAGTCAAGAAATGCATGAAGGATGTGGCATTTGGCCACGAACTTGGGATGCTCTTTTGGGCAGAGATTTTCGAATGATTTCAGGTTCCTAATTTTGTAAATTAGCAAGAAGAATGGCTTAAATTTCCAGCAATTAAATTAAATTAAATTAAAAATATATTTAAAAACTTGTCTTAGAGCTCTTTTGCTCTTCCAGATTTCGGTCTGGAAAACTGGAACATTTTGGAAGAAAATGGTGGTTGAAAAAAGGAGTCTACTTTGAAAATTCCTTCATCAAAAATATGTCCAAAGAAACTCCAAGGAAAGAAAATATTTCCCCATAAAATATCTTCAAAAAATTGGAAATAAAAGTCAGTTTTGACATGAACTTCCTTTGCCCCTAGAGTACCCCCAGGTACCTTTTGGGGAGATCTCTTTCCAAAAAGTAACATCTCCATCAAGCAGCAAGCATCGCCTGTCACTGTCCCCTGCATTCCCCGCTGCTCCTCCATTTTTCCACAGAAACGAGCGCAGAATAAAGGGAGGCCCATAAACAACGAAATTGAATACGACAAAAAATCTTAACCACCCGTTGACGCATAGATAACACCCTTGGCCTATTGACTGGCGGCCAGGGCTATGGCGGGAGAACCGCCCTGAAGCTGTCCTATTCTTCATGGGGGCATCCACTCCCCCCAGCCCTCGACAACACTCTGCATCCCACCCATTTCCATTTGGTCGTCGCACTATCGAGAGACTCTGACTGTGACGACTACTGGTCTCTTAGTCGCAAGATTTCTACTTCTCCTGCTGCTATTGCCGCTGCTCCTTCTACTACTTCGACTACTGCATCAGCATCAGCGTCTCGTTTCGTCTCTCGTCTTTTGTCGTCGAGGATTTACAAAATTTGATTCAATGGCATTGCTCCTCGTTGCTGCTGCTGCTGCCCCATTCCTAATTCCTATCCCTGGCACATGCTCTATCCTTTGGCTGCCATTCCATGGCCTGCCAGCTGATTGCTACATGAAGATATTCCGAATCTCTTGCTCTCTTTCTCTGCCACTGGATGCCGACCAGTCCCAGTCCCTGTTCCTGTTCCTGGCCAAGTATCCAAAGATCCACCACCACCCATAACTCAGTAGTTATTTATCCAAAGTCCATTTGACTTTGCCTTTTGTGCATTTGCTTGTCGACGGGCAGGCAGGCAGTCAAGGGACCCCTGCTCCTACTCAATGGATGGACATTTTCTTTGCCCTTTTCTTGCATTTTCTTACATTTTTTTTTTGGCAAGCGATTTGCCTGGATATTCTCATGTCCTGCCACACAAACACACAGGCCAGGCGGCCCCTCTGTCCACTGGAAAATTACAAGTTTCTGCTTCCAAAAGTCATACAAATTATGATGTTTGCATCGCTTGCAACACTTATTAGATACGAGTATGTTGCCACTGCCACTGGCTACTGCCACACATTGCTTCTGCTGGCTACTGGCCACTGCGTCCTGCTCCTTCTGGTTATGGCCCAAAGGGTTTCGGCATTAAAATTTGATGGCATGTAGTGATAAGCGTTCAATAACGATGTTGTCCTTGTCGTCGCCAGCCCCAGCCCCATCCCCTTACCCTCCCCCACCCTATTGGAAGCTGCATTCCCACTGTGGCACTCCATTCGATTGGGGTTCCTCCCCCTTCCCACCGTCCAGAGAAGAGAGAGAGAGCGAGAGGTTAATGCACAGTTGTAATTTTTTTTATGGACGATTACATGTTGTCAAGGAGTCAGCAGGACGGACAGCAGTGGGGAGTGTAGCGGTGTGTGGTTGTGGTGCCCCATAAAGGATAAGAGTTATGGCCGAATGCATTTGAATTTGCCAGCGGTAATAGAGTGTTTGCATATTACTACGTGTTCCAAAGATTGGGGAGAGCAGAGCACTGTTTAAATCCCCCGGCAATCCCTTGATGTCCGCACTCTTTCTGAAGGAGAAAATGTTATGGATATTCAATCCTTCAACTTGGGAAATTTACGAGTAATTGCATAGGAATCCAACTCCCACCAAAATGCTTTATTCTTATCGAGGGACTCACTTCTGATCTATAAATATTTCCTATCGCTGAGAACGTCATTCGAACCATAATCTCTTTTGGTGTGCGGATGTCACAGACCGAATTCCAACTGAGAATTGGTTATTCTTTATTTCAGAGTAACTTCCACCAACGGAGTGCAGGAGTCCAGGAGATCAAGAGTATATTTATTTCCCTACAAATGTTTGAAAATCTTTCTTCTTATGATCTCACTTGATTTTGAGAGCAGATTCCCTGATTTTATAGACCTTTTCGCTTTCTTATTGTCAATCAAAACAGTCCTTAAACAAACGTTTCCTCTCGGAATCTTCTTGGAGCATAAAAAAAGACCTTAAGTATATTTTTCCCCCAGGAATCTGTTGGCTGACTCGTGGAAGAAAAAGGCGCCGCATTTAATGTTTTATAAATTAAAAAGCATTCAACGAAAGGAGCCAAAGGCAGGCAGGCAGGCAGAGAGAGAGGCTGTGGCTGCGGCCGTAGGCGACAGTGGATTCGATTCGATAAGATGCAAATGCCTGCAGGACACAGGCATCCTGGATACTGGCTGTGGGTGTGGCGTAGGGACGGGTCTAATGCAGTGGCACGTAATTGCTGCTGCGCCTACGAGTGTATGCAACACAGTAAGGAGTGGAGTAGGAGGAGGTTCCATCTGCTGTTAGTAGTGCTACTCCTCCTTACTCATTCTCCTTCTCTCCCCTTCACGTTGTTCTCCTTCTGTCTCCTGTGTTCTGTGTTGGTGTGCATTTCATTAAATGCCAATGCCTGGGCAAATTAAATTGAGTTGCATGCTGCATGGCTGCATGGCTGGCTGTATGTCTGTTCGAATGCTGAATGTTGAATGTCATTTCATCAG